TGGAGGCGCGGAGGCGGGGGCGGCAGCCGCGCCGTGCGCGCTGCGAAGTCTACTTGTGTCGAGAGGATTGAAACCTGAAACCTCGACTGCAGAGCCGAGCGCCAGGCTCAGCGGGGAACCTTCCAGGCTGTGGCGCACGACCACAGTCTCCAGGGTCTCAAGTTAAGGAACGAGCGGGCCTGGTCATGCTTTATGGGAATCAGAGAACACCCGCTTGTAAGGTGGTGGTCCCATCAGTCCTGCACTGTTGTAATCATAGTAGGCTACAAAAATGATCGATGCCTGAGCATCTCCTAAAACAGTGCTCATCACTGCTTTAGTCGGCTAATCAATACTCCATTAATGGAGAGGTAGCCTGGAATAGTGAACCGAGTTCTGAGGACCCGCATTCGAATGCCAGCACGAAGACAGGAATTCTAGTGCTAAATTCTTCGATCCCCGCTTTCTTAGGCTTAGGATCTCTTGCTGTGTGTATTCTGTGCCTCATCCTCTTTTAAACATAACCAAATATATCATTTATTAAATTGCACATTTAATAAGACGAATGTAGTGTCCTCTGCATGCCAGACTCTGTTCTGGTGATGGAGACCCAGTTCCCAACAAGCAAAATTCAGCTTTCACAGAACTTAAAAAAGAAAATTTATTTCGAGATATAGTTTCACATGCTTACTAAGAAATAATATATAGTAATAATACATACAATACTACATATAATACATAAAAATCCCATAAACTTCACCCAGTTTCCCCAGACTTGAATTTTAATGAGAAGATATAAGTAATCAACAAATAAATAAACGAACAAGGTCATTTCAGATAATAAGAGCCAAGAAGAAGATAAAACGAAGTGAGAATGTGGGGGGAAATTAGAAGGTCAGAGAAGACTTTTGGGATGAGGCGACATTTGAGCAGAGTCATGAATAATGAAAAGGGGGCAGCCAGTCAAAGATTTAGGGAAAAAGCTTGCTAAGCACTGGGTACAGTGAGTGAGGCAAGAACAAAAAACAGAAAGAAGGGGTGTGGAGTTGGAGCATAAGGGTCCAAGGATTTAGATGGGATGAGATGAGGTAGGAAACAGGCCGGATCATATCCAATCTTACAGGCCTGGACCAAGAGTACGGGTTTTATTCCAGGTGCCATGATTTGATTTAGTCTGACTGCTGTGTGGTTTCAAAAAGACAGGAACAAAATATGAAAGCAGAGAAGCCAGTTAGAAGGCCCCTGAATTAGTCCAAACCCAGCGAGTTAACTGGGTAGAAGGTGAGAAATGGACAGGTTTGGGATATATTTAGGAGAAAGACTAAAAGGGCTTGCTAGTGGATTGGTTATCTTTAAAACAAAAACTCTCCCTTGATTCCACATGTCGCTCAGCTCCTGCTCTATGTCCTCTTTAAGGCCAAATTTGTTGACCTAATTCTCTACCTTTTATGTCTCCATTTCTTAATTCTCCCCTCTTTATCCAGTCCAACCTGGGTTCTGATCCAACTGCTCTACCTCTGTTTGTCTAAAAGCTGTTTTATCACCAATGTCCCTGGTGGCCTTGATGTGGCTAAATCCAATAGACTCTTTTAGTCCGTTTCTTGCTTGACCCCTCAATTATATTTGTCACCGTTGACCACTCTCTCCTTGCAGAAACACTCTTTGGCTTTCCTTTTTTCTTTCCGGCTGTTCTTTCTCAGTCTCCTTCGCTGGCCTCTCCTTCTCCATGGACAAGCTGAGTGCTAAAGAGCTAAAGATTCTGTCTTAGGACCTTTTCCCTTCTCATTCCTTCCCTAAGAATCTAAAAAAACCACATAGATTCTGTTAACCGTCTAGATTCCAAAGACCTTCAAATCTTTAGGCCACTCAAATACCCAACTGCTTACTTGACATAACCCCCTGATTGCTTTAGGCACCTTCAGCTTAACGTGTCTGATAACAAACTCATAGTGGCCTTCCACCTGCTCCACCTGCAGCTATTTATCTCTCTCTTAGTAAATGCTCCTACAGTCCACCTGGTGACTCAGCCCAGACACCTGGTAGCCATCCTCAATTTCTTCCTCTCCCTCATTCACGTTGAATCAGTCACTGTCACAGCCAGAATCCTGCTTCCAATGTATCTCTCGGTAATTTTTTCCCCCCAGTAGTTCTTGAATTGTTTTATTTTTTTCTATTCCCATGGCCAGCTACCACTTATGTTATTATTATGAGGATATTTTATCCATTGCTTTTCAGAGAGAGTGGAAGAGAGGGAGGGAGAGAGAGAGAGAAAAAAAAACATTGATGTGAGAGAGACACATGGATTGGTTGCCCCTCTCATGCTCCCCAACCAGGCTGGGGATCGTGCCTGCAACCGAGGTACATGTCCTTGGCCAGGAGTGAGCCCAGGACCCTTCAGTCTGTGGGCCGACACTCTAACCACTGAGCAAACTGGCTAGGGCTTACTTTAAATCATTGCATTCTCTTCTGTGATCTGTTGCAATAGTTCCTATACGTTCCACCTGCATCCAGTATTACCACTGTCTAAGCTATTATCCACATTGCAACTAAAGTGACCTTTTGAAAAGCAAGTATCTTATGTTACCCCATGCTCAAAACCCTTTAATGGCTCTCCATAACCCTTAGGGTTAAATTCCATATCCTTAGAATGATTTACAAAGCCCTGCAGATTTTACTTTTTCAAGAACTACAATCAGTTAGAACATCTTTGGTGGCAAGGAATAAAAATTCAACTGAAAGTGCCTTAATTAATAAGGTATTTATTATCTAATATAGTAAATTGGTCCAGAAGTAAGCAGTTCCAAGTTAGCTCAGCAATTCAATGATGTCCTCGAGGCCTCAGTCCCTTGCCATCCCCAGTGTGTCAGTAGTGTCTTGCTCATTGCAGAAAGGGAGCAGGAGCTGCTCCAATAATCACATCTACATACAACAATCTCCAAAAAAGAAAGGAAAGGAAAGGTTTCCTTTTCCTAGGTCTCTCTTCTCTTAAGTAAAAGGAAAATGTTTCCTAGAGGCCTCCTTCTACTGACTTCCCCTTACATCTTATTGATCCAGATTGGACTCATGGCCATTCTTAAACAGTCATTAACAAAAGACAAAGAGGATACTCTGATTGGCTTAAACTCATAATTTACCCCATAGGTCTTGACCTTTCCGTTAGCTGAACAATATAATTTGGGGTTCTTTTTACCAAGAAAGAAAAGAATAAGGCAGTTGGATAGGCCAACAATAGGGTCTCCCAAAATAACCATATTTGGCTCCATCTGCAATCACTCTCTCCCTTATTCTACATGGTTCTAAATTTCTCTGCGTCTTTTAATTCTTTGAGTGTACTGAGTTCTTTCTGTCTTCAGGGCCTTTAATACCTGCCTTTTTTTTTTTTTTTTTTGCTTTGCCTGAACACCTCCATCAACACGCATCATTCTCAACTTCCTTCAACTCAAATTTCAGGTCTTAGTTTGGTGACTTTCTATACCACATCTGTCTCATACTATCTCCTTGATTCTTTCAGAGTCTTCTCTATTTGCCTTCCAATTTATCCTGCTGTGGCTACTCCAAAAGTTAGAGATAACACATGTAAAGTACCTGGCATGTAGGAGACGATACATATATTTATATATGTAACTCAGTGCTAATCTCACAAGATAGATATCATTGTTCCCATTTGATAGTCTCAGAAAATTTAACTTAGCAAAAGGACACCTAGCCAATAAGTGGCAGAATTATGTTTTAATTTTAAATCTTTTATTTTAGCCCAGCCGGGCATGGCTCAACGGTTGAGCGTTGACCTAGGATCCAGGTGATCGGGGTTTGGTTCCCGGTCAGGGCACATGCCCGGGTTGCGGGCTGCAGCCGATCAATGACTCTCTCATCATTGATATTTCTCTCTCTCTCTCCACCTCCTTTCCTCTCTGAAATCAAGAAAGATATATTTTTTAAAAATAAATAAATAAATAAATCTTGTATTTTAAAATCCATGTGCTTTTCACTAAGGTACTTGTAAAGAGATGAGAAGTGCTAAGAATCTTAGAAAAAAGTAAAACAAAATTAAAGAAAACAGTGCAGGAAAACGGGACCTGGGAGGATAGATAAAAATTAAGCATCTGATATTATTTATAAGGCTCTTAATAAACTTATAAAGCTGGCAATAATGATGAAGAGGATGATTATAGTTGTCAGCCAGAAAATAAATTCACAATCCAGACCCTGAGCCCTGGAGGGCATCAGAAGTACAGATTAGTATAAATCAATATCTCTGGTATCAAGA